CCTTCGGCCGGGTACCGCCCGGGACTTCTTCCCCATCGCGAGCCCGAGCGCGAGCCGCGAGCGTCGGACAGCCGAGAGGGGCGGGCGCTCGGCGCGGCGATGCGTAATCAATATTCATACGCTGCGACACCGCCTCCAGCAGGGATCCGCTTTTAACCGGCGGAGCGCGCGCTCGCGCAAGCGCACTGGACCTGGTGTGCTCTTATGGCCCCGCCCCCATGAAGGGAGGGCGGACTTTACCCATGGGGCTAGGCGACTGGTTATTTTGACACATTGACGGTGCCGGGAGCCAATGGAAAAGGAAAAAGGGTTAGCGTCAAGCCAATAGTACGGAAGAGTGTGAGTTTAGACGGGCTTCCAAATTACGTCACGCTCCACCCCTGCGTTTTTTGCGGAGTCTTTTCTCCGCCGCCTTGTCCTCCATTTTGAGCCCGTTCTTGGCTGTTTCTTATCGTTTGTCATCTAGGATGCTATGCTGCTTTCCTGGTCTTTCCCGTAGTTTCGCCTTGTTTATTGGGGTTTACTTTGGGTCTAACATTGAACACTAAGTAGAATAGTGGGTCTCTTATGGTTTTGTAAAATTTTTCTTGGAGCACAAAGATGATGCCTCATATTGTTGCTTATCAATATGATAAGCAACTGAAAAAAAATCACTTGTACTGCATAGGAGGAAAGAGCCTAAATTTTTGCGATGGATTCCAGGAACTTTCCCAATCTAATCGCTTTATTAGGTTTAATCTTTCTTTAGCACTCTCTTCTCCCCTGCCCGGGCTAGCTGGAATAACTACTGCATCACGAGGCAAAATTGTTTTCCTTCCTTAAGACCCATTGCAGGAGTTACATCTCTGAATCTTTTTATCTCAATGCTGAGTTCCTCACCAGCACTTAACCTACCATTGAGTTTAAGAAATCCAGGGTTCATCTATAAAAGAGGAATAAGATCTATAAATTAGAAATAATGGTATAGATATCTATCCTGTAAGGTTGTGAAAATCAAATGCAGTTCTACATATGAACTCCTTATATGGTACCTCAAAGATAATAAGTCCTCATTGTTACAAATTAGAGAAGACTCTTGAGAGCCCTTTGGACAGCAAGGAGATCAAAGGAGACTCTTTTTGGACAGCAAGATCAAACCTGTCAGTCTTAAAGGAAATCAACACTGAATAGTCATTGGAAGGGCTGATGCTGAAGCCGAAGCTGGTATACTTTGCTCACTTGATGTGGAGAACTGACTCATTGGAAAAGCCCCCGATGCTGGGCAAGATTGAAGGCAGGAGGAGAAGGGGATGACAGAGAATGAGATGGTTGGATGGCATCACAGACTTGATGGACATGAGTTTGAGCAAGCTCTGGGAGTTGGTCATGGAAGCCTGGTGTGCTGCAGTCCATGGAGTCACAAAGAGTCCAACACGACTGAACGGAACTGAAGAATTACAGTGGTATTTGTTTTTATATCCCTAGTGAAGTCTCTCAGTCGTGTCCAACTCTGCGACCCCGTGGACTGTAGCCTACCAGGCTCCTCCATCCATGGATTCTCCAGGCAAGAATACTGGAGTGGGTTGCCATTTCCTTCTCCAGGGGATCTTCCTGACCCAGGGATCAAACTTGGGTCTCCCGCATTGCAGGCAGACGCTTTACCCTCTGAGCCACCAAGGAAGCCCAAGGTCACTCAGTTCTTGCATACACTAATTGTAACATCGAACACTTACTATGTGTGACGTACCGTGTAACCAGTTTATGTGTAGAATTAACGTTTGATTTTCACAATAACTGTATAGGATAGATATCTATATGGTTATTTCTAATTTCTAGATCATATTTCTCAGTTATAGATGAACCCTTGGATTGGTTGTTGAGTACAAAAGCCATGAAAGCAGTGACTTGTATGTTTTGTTCCCTGGGTTGAAATGTACTTTCTGGAACATAAGCACTCAGAGTTTTTGAATGAATATAGCACATGAATATATGCAAACTTGACATAAGTAGCACTTTTTTTCCCCTTGCCTATGGGAGGAATAACTGGATTAGAGTGTCTTGAAGTTAGACTCCCAAAACTTCTGAAAAATTAACAGCTAGAAGCAGGGGAATATGCTGTTTTGAAGCTATCACCAAAGTTTATTATTATTATTATTTTGGCTGCACTGGATCTTCATCGCACCTGCAAGGCTCTTCATTGTGGAGTGAGGGCTTCGTTGTGGTGTGTGGAATTTTAGTTCCCTGACCAGGGATCGAACCTGTGACCCCTGAATTGGGGGCGCAGAGCCTTAGCTGCTGGACTGCCGGGGAAGTCCCTGCCACCAATTTTCTGGTTTATTTCTCATTTATTTCTTAAGAGAAACACTGAAATGTGGTAGTTGTACATAGGAGTTTTGAAGCCAAACATTTGGATGTAGCACCTTCCAGATATAATTGCTAGACTTTTCTTAGCATCCCTAAAGTTGCTTTTGTAACTGTTAAAATGTGTTCGTACCCATAGGGTTGTTAATCATAATTTTAAGCTCCTTGCATTGGTCCAGGAACAAAATAAGCAATTATTATATAGTAGCTAATATTATTTTTTTTTTTAATTAATTATCTTTGGCTGCCCTGGATCTTCCATACTGCATGCGAGCTTTCTTTAGTTGTGACAAGTAGGGGGTTACTCTCTAGTTGCAGGCATGTGCTTCTCATTGCAATGACTTCTTGTGGAGTGCCGGTTCTAGGGCAGGCGGGCTTCGGTAGCTGTGGACAGGCGGGCCCGGCTGCACGTGGGGTCCTCCCAGACCAAGGATTGAATCTTTGTCTCCTGTGTTGGCAGGCAGACTCCCCACCACTGGGCCGTCAGGGAGGCCCTCTGGTAGCTGTTGTTAACATTAATGAGGTAATTTTGTTTATACAAAAGTCCAGATCCTATTATAAAACTAGCTGGAACCAGACTGAGATTATGAATTAAACCACAATGCATAGAAAAGTGAAAGGCGGTTTTCCTTGGGGGAAATTCCCACTTGTGGAGGTAGCTGTTACTGTTTGTAACTAGGGCTCTTAACCCTGCCTGTCCAGAGAACCATCTGGAACAGCAGCAATTTTTTCAAGGAAGAGGGTGGTGGGGATGGTTTAGGATGATTCAAGGGCAGTCTGTTTCGTGTTCCTATGAGAATCTGAATGCTGCTGCTGATCTGCCGGGAGGCAGAGCTCAGGTGGTAATAGCCATAGGAGGCCGTGGCTGCAGATACAGATGAAGCCGCTTTTACTCCCTGGCTAGTCGCCCCTGGCTGTGCGGCCTGGTTCCTCACAGTCCACAGACCCAGACAGGCCTGTGACCTGGAGGCTGGGGATCCCTGATCCAGAGAACATTAAAGCAACGTAAGAATCTGGATCAGTGGTGGAAATGCAGGGCTGATACCAATTTTCCTTTAAAAATCTCTTTAGATAATTTGAATGCTTAACCAGGGTTGAGAACCACTGGTTTTAGAGACATATTTTGCTGTTTTGGGCCTCAGAGGTGGTATTCGGAGGGGGAGAGGGGGTTCCCTGGTGGTGTAAAGAACCCACCTGCCCATGCAGGTATGAGAGGTGTGGGTTCAAGGCTTTGGTCAGGAAGATGACAACCCACTCCAGTATTCTTGCCTGGAGAATCCCATGGACAGAGGAGCCTGGCAGGCTATAGTCGGTAGGGTTACAAAGAGTGGGACGCGACTGAAGCGACTTAGTAGGCAGGCACTCATGAAGGTATCAGGATCTGAACTAGGGATGGGCGAACCATGCTAAATCAGGTTTAGTTTTTAAAGGGTTAAACAAACAAGAATATGTGAAAGAGACCTGTGTAGACCACAAATCCTAAACTACTTATTATCTGGCTTTTTACAGGAAGGTTTGATATGTCCCCACACAGAGTGCATAAACATAGAGTTACTCCCTTTAAAGAAAAATCAGGCCTGATCCTTGATCTCCAAGGGCCTAACCACCTCAGGAATTACGGAGGATGTTTTGGTTGTGGTGATGATATTGTTTCAGTAAAATCAAATTATCAAGATTTACATTTGACAAGTAAAATACCCATTATCACAATTGGTGGGCGATTCCTTACTCTGTATTTGATGTTATTTCTTTTTGATTAATAATTTAAAAAAATGTGGTCTGCACTGGGTCTTCGTTGCTGCATATGGGCTTTCTCCCGTTGCTGTGAGCAGGGGCTGCTCTTCATTGTGGTGCAGGGAGTTCTCACGGCAGTGGCCTCTCGTTGCAGAGCACAGGCTCTAGGGCACAGAGGCTTCAGTGGTTGTGGCTCAATAGTTGTGGTGTACAGGCTTAATTGCTCCGTGGCCCGTGGGATCTTCCCGGAACAGGGATTGAACCCATGTCCCCTGCATTGGTAGATTCTTTCCACTGTGCCACCAGGGAAGCCCCTGATTTAATTTCAAAAGCTGACTTTCCTAATCCATATTAAAACTCTAGCTGTTGGAACTTCCACAAGAGGTATGCTGCAGAGAGGGACTGTGCAGAAAGGTGTCCCAGCTTCAGTTCATTTCTTTTTTTTTTTATTAGTTGGAGGCTAATTACTTCACAATATTGTAGTGGTTTTTGTCATACACTGACTTGAGCTTCAGTTCATTTCATTTCAGTTCAGTCGCTCAGTCGTGTCCGACTCTTTGCGATGCCATGGACTGCAGCACGCCAGGCTTCCCTGTCCATCACCAACTCCAGAAGTTTATTCAAACTCATGTCCATCAAGTCAGTGATGCCATCCAATCATCCCATCCTCTGTCGTCCTCTTCTCCCACCTTCAATCTTTCCCAGCATCAGGGTCTTTTCAAATGAGTCAGTTCTTCCCATCAGGTGGCCAAAGTATTGGAGTTTCAGCTTCAGCTAAATGAATATTCCAATGAATATCCAATGAATATTCAGGAATATCCAATGAATATCCAACGAATATTGATGACTTATTTCCTTTAGGGTGGACTGGTTGGATCTCCTTGCAGTCCTAGTGACTCTCAAGAGCCTTCTCCAACACCACAGCTCAAAAGCATCAATTCTCCCTTTCTGGTAAGCGGCCTGAGCTGACCCTTGAAAATGGTGCGCTATTCACTCGACCCAGAAAACCCCACAAAATCATGCAAATCAAGAGGTTCAAATCTTCGTGTTCACTTTAAGAACACTCGTGAGACTGCCCAGGCCATAAAGGGTATGCATATCCAAAAAGCCACCAAGTATCTGAAGGATGTCACTTTAAAGAAGCAATGTGTGCCATTCCGTCGTTACAATGGTGGAGTTGGTAGGTGTGCACAGGCCAAACAGTGGGGCTGGACGCAGGGTCGGTGGCCCAAAAAGAGCGCTGAATTTTTACTACATATGCTCAAAAATGCAGAGAGTAATGCTGAACTTAAGGGCTTAGATGTAGATTCTCTGGTCATTGAGCACATCCAAGTGAACAAAGCCCCCAAGATGCGGCGCAGGACTTACAGAGCTCACGGTCGGATCAACCCCTACATGAGCTCTCCCTGCCACATTGAGATGATCCTTACTGAAAAAGAACAGATTGTTCCTAAACCAGAAGAGGAGGTTGCACAGAAGAAAAAGATATCCCAGAAGAAACTGAAAAAACAAAAACTTATGGCCCGGGAATAAATGCCGCAGAAAATAAATGCAAATAAAAGTAAAAAAAAAAAAGCATCAATTCTTCGGCACTCAGCTTTATAGTCCAACCCTCATATTCATACACGACTACTGGGAAAACCATAGCTTTGACTAGATGGACCTTTGTTGGCAAAATAATGTCTCTGCTTTTTAATATGCTATCTAGGTTGGTTATAGCTTTTCTTCCAAGGAGCAAGCATCTTTTAATTTTATGACTGCAGTGATTTTGGAGCCCCCCAAAACAAAGTCTCTCATTGTTTCCATTGTGTCCCCATCTATTTGCCATGAAGGGATGTGACTGGATGCCATGATCTTAGTTTTCTGAATGTTGAATTTTAAGCCAACTTTTTCACTCTCCTCTTTCACTTTCTTTTTTTTCCCCTCTTTCACTTTCATCAAGAGGCTCTTTAGCTGTTCACTTTCTGTCATAAGGGTGGTGTCATCTGCATATCTGAGGTTATTGATATTTCTCCCAGCAGTCTTGATTCCAGCTTGTGCTTCAGCCAGCCCAGCTTCAGAAGCATAGAATAAAGTTTTAAGGTTGTGTGTGTTTATTCATCTAAGTTTTATTATATAAAAAAATTTATAAACAAATCTCAATTAAGTAGAGAGAGCAGGACAGGAAGCTCTCACACCCTGTGATGATATCCCAATAGGAAGAAGATTCCTCTTCTTTCCTGGTAAGGACTCAGCCAGTGAAAAGCCCTGTGCTCTTTATTTACTATAGTCCTCCCAACTCCTTTAGAAAAGCAGCTGAGGGGTCTTCCTGGTGGCCCGGTGGTTGAAACTCTGCTCTCCCAATGCAGTGGGCCTGGGTTCCATCCTGGTCTGGGAACTGGATCCTACGTGGGACCACTTAAGATCCCTTGTGTTGCAACTAAGACCCAGCACAGCCCCACCCCCTCAACAAAAGCAGCTACTTCCCTTGCCCTGAGGGAAACTGCATGTGGCTTGCCAAAGTTGCAAGATCCTATATTGCCAATTCTCTGATGCTTCAGAATAAACTCATCTTTGCTGGAAAAATAACGGGGCAGAATATTAGTTTTAGGTCAACAATCAATTCCAACTGGGCATGTCTTGAGCAGTTCAATTCTGAGGATAACCCCCAGGACCTGGCATCAGACACCACAGGTTTAAGGGCTCAGTCTCCCAGAAAGCAGTGTTAGTCACTCAGTCGTGTCTGACTCTTTGCAACCCCATGGACTGTAGCCCACCAGGTTCCTCTGTCCATGGGATTCTCCAGGCAAGAATACTGGAGTGGGTTGCCCTGCCCTCCTCTAAGGGATCTTCCCGACCCAGGGGTCGAACCCAGGTCTCTTGCATTGCAGGCAGATTCTTTACCATCTGAGCCACCAGAGAAGCCTTGGTGTCCCCGGAGCTGCCCTTACTTTAGAGGTCAGCTTCAAGGGAGACCCCCGTGCCACCCACACTTCTGGCTGGTTACATAATGAGGTTTCCACAGCCCCCTCAAATTTTATAATTCTCTAGAACCATTCATGGAACTCAGGAAAGCACTCCACTTCGGATTTCCGTTTTACTACAAAGGATAACAGGTGAGGCCTGGGAGGGAGCAGAGAGTTCCCATATTGCCGCTCTGTGAAGTCAGCACGTCTCCCTCCGAGCACATTGTGTTCTCAGCCCAGGACGTTCTGTTCAGTCCTGCTGTCTGGTTTTTACTTGATTACACAGTCATGGTTGACTGGCTTACTGGCCACTGTGACTCAACTTAATCTCCAGTCCCCCTGGTCCAGTCTTTCCAGGAGGTTGTGAAAGTGAACGTCACTCAATAATGTCCGACTCTTTGTGACCCCATGGACTATACAGTCCATGGAATTCTCCAAGCCAGAATTCTGGAATGGGTAGCCGTTCCCTTTTTTAGGGGGTCTTCCCAACCCAGGTAACCCACATTGGAGGCAGATTCTTTACCAGCTGAGCCACCAGGGAAGCCCTCATTTTATTTATAAGTGAGCAGTTAAGTGAAGAAAACCAAAGAGCCTCTTGATGAAGGTGAAAGAGGAGAGTGAAAAAGTTGGCTTAAAACTCAACATTCAGAAAATGAAGATCATGGCATCTGGTCCCATCACTTCATGGCAAATAGATGGGGAAACAATGGAAACAGTGAGAGACTTTTAATTTTGGGGCTCCAAAATCACTGCAGATGGTGACTGCAGCCATGAAATTAAAAGACGCTTGCTCCTTGAAAGAAAAGCTATGACCAATCTAGACAGTATGTTAAAAGGCACAGACATTACTTTGCTGCCAAAGTTCCGTCTAGTCAAAGCTGTGACTACTATTTCTAGTAGTTGTGTATGGATGTGCAAATTGAACTCTAAAGAGAGCTGAGCATCAAAGAATTGATGCTTTTGAACTGTGGTGTTGGAGAAGACTCTTGAGACTCCCTTGGACAGCAAGGAGACCCAACCAGTCCATCCTAAAGGAAATCAGTCCTGAATATTCATTGAAAGGACTGATGCGGAAGCTGAAACTCCAATACTTTGGCCACCTGATGGGAAGAACTGACTCATTTGAAAAGACCCTGATGCTGGGAAAGATTGAAGGCGGGAGGAGAAGGGGATGACAGAGGATGAGATGGTTGGATGGCATCACCAACTCAAAGGACATGAGTTTGAGTAAGCTCCAGGGAGTTGGTGATGGATGGGGAAGACTGGCGTGCTGCAGTCCATGGGGTTGCAAAGAGTCAGACATGATTGAGCGACTGAACTGAACTGAACTGAGCAGTTATGGATGATCAAGCGCTCAGACTCCCCTCTAGCAGCTTCCTTTGCTTCAGCAAAAGGGAAAAGGGAAAGGAACACTCTCATACAGAGGTGGATGTCACCAGAGTGAACCCCGCTATTCTGGACTTGAGGCCACTGGGAAATACAAGCAAGCCTGAGGGGCTCAGAGACCTGTGTTGGTTGGGACAGGACACAGGCAGCCAACATCTAGGAGCAGAGTCAGGAGACCTGTGTTCAAGTCTGACTACACTGTGCATCGGCAGCAGAAGCCAGGGCAAGATGCTTTACTCTGCTAACCTTTGCTTTGTTTATAAACATGGGATTGTGTCTATCTCAAAGGATGCTGGCAAGATTAGAAGAGATGTTTGCAAATGTCCTAAAACTGTACACACACAGCACTCAGCAGGCCTTCAATAAATGGTACCTATTATATGCTTGCTTTAGAGTATATGAAACGCAGCAGTGTTTTCAAGTTCTAAGTAAACACGAAGCTAGTGGGGGTAAGAAAAAGCAAAATGAATGCAGAACTGGCTAGAATCAGAGAAGGAGGGGATATGTAGGAATTTTAGAAACCACCCAAGCTACTCTTTGTGCCTAGCTTTGATGGAACCTCGTGTGTGGTAGTAGAAGGAAAACTAAAGAGATCCCTTTAATTTTATCTTGGTCAAAATATTTTCAAGAAAATTTTATTTTTTGTGCAAAATCATTGAAGGAAAAACTAGACTTTGTTGAAGGAAACGAGAAACAGATCGTTTTTAGGCTACCGAACATCTTCAAACAAGCATCGTCTTTCAAAAGCCCATGCAAAGTGTTTGGCTTTCATTATGGTCCCACCTAGCAAAGGTGACTGCCCTCTACTGCAGGGCAACCTCAGAAATAGCGCACACTATTGAGATGCATTGAGCAACTCTGACGCTGGCTTTAAGTGTCTGTTTTGCTGGAAGGGAGAAGGGAGGGAAGGATGAAGGAGCAGAGTATGGAGTCAGGGGTCACCTGGGCCATTTCCCATGCCTCTTCCCCAAACTCCAAAGCCCGTGATTACCCTGGAGCATCTGCTAAACATCAAAAGTGAGGAAAAGAGTTTTGATGATTTTTCTGCTTCCAAAAAATACATTTTCCTCTCCTGAATGATCCCTATAATAACCTTAACTTTCTACTTTTCCTACTGTGTGGAAATTGTCTTCATGGCAAAACTAAATTGTGCAATTCCACTCATATGTAAGATTTGTTTTTCTCTCTGCCTGGTTCCCCTGGAAACCTGAGTTGTATCTGCATGTCTGAATTTCACCCTACCCCCATCAACTAGCATTCAAACATGACTCCTCTCAAAAGTCACTAGCATGCACTGATGTTTCACATATCTGAACTGGGCATTTTAACTGCATAGACCTAGAAAGTAAATAATCTTACTTTCACTTGGATTCAGAGGATGAGGAGGAAACTGGTCAGTGTTTCCAATGAGGTAGCCAAAGAACATTCACATGAAGAGACAAAGTGAGGGGGACTGGCCAGAGTGAGGGCAGTATTTGTAGAGAAGATGCGTGACTACCACACAGAATCCATGGGTCAGTAAATGACTGGGGACTCACTGTGACAGCTTCAGAAAATAATGTGTTCCATCACCACCTACGCTGAAAGGCTGGCTGTTGGGCGGAAAGGTGTAAGGTTGGGCTTACGTAAGTTTTAACCCTATGTTCACCGTCACAGGATGGATCTCCCTAGGGACTATCCTCATCCTGAAGCTACCTAAGGCCCCATTCAGACTCACCTTATTAGCATAACAAAGATTTCTTTCATTCAGGGTTTCACAAGGATTTATAAGCTATTTGCCAGGAACGGGGACAAAGACCAAATATATTTTTTGTTATATCACATTATTTGACCTTATGTGTTCCATGGAAGTTCATTTAAATCACAAAGACTCATTTACTGGAAGAAATACCTTTTAGTCTATAGAAACCCGCATAGGTCACGTGAGCAATAAATTGATCTTTTGATGATGTGTTCTAAGCAGATACAGGTATATTCTTGTGGCTTAGGGTTAATGATGAGCTACTGATTATATTAAAAGTAATACAGGAGTATCTTTGTTTTCAGGTACAAAGAGCTCTAAAGAGTAAAAGAAATTTTAGACCTCTCTATAATATATACTGTATTCTAGCAGAAAAAAAGAAGTATTAATCAGGTTGACGTAAATTAGGTTAATTGTTACCTAGAATGTGTTCACTGATGGACAGTTTTGTAGAACAAATGAGCTTTGTTAGATCACAAAAAGAATGGTTAGTATGAAACTGT